TCAGATGCTTTGTTATCAGATCGTAAACTATTTGACTTAAATATAACCGCATTAGACTTGATAACAGGATTCGAAGTCACAGTGGTTGAACGTGATTGAAAAGGCCTCATTGTTACATTTTGAAGTCGTTTACAAATTCGATCAGCAAATGCTATATCGGCATCCGACGCAAACCTAACATAATATACATTCCCTTTCAATGATCGTCGTTTGTCATAAGATACGATGCGTAATTTTGACTTTAATTCAGACGAAAATTTGTTTGTGTAAAGAACTCGTTGATACTTCATCATCCACCCAAGCAGACAAGATTTGTCCGAAACGCGTTTTCACATTGAAAAAAGACCATTTTTGAATGTAGGCACGTGTGAGAATAGGAATGCTTGTTTAAACGCAAAATAATGAACTTTTGTCAGCATTAAAACGAGCAAACCTTCCCTAATAAGTATTTTTCAACATGTGAACGTTTCGAATACTTCTTTTCATACCGTTTCAACACTCATATGAGCAGACTCACGTGTTTTTTGTTAGAAATCGCATATACAGCATGTTTTGGCACCGTATTTTAATCAATGTGTTCAGAGTGCAAAATTACATGTCGTGTAAACACAGATAATTCGAATTTTTTTTAATCGTTTTTTCGTATATTTTTCTTTTATGAGTAAATTCAGCAAAACTCAAACTGAAAACACCATAGACCGAGATAAAGTATATGTATGTATACCACTAAACCGCTTATTCGTATAAATGTATAAAGTTTCAAAACATATGCACCGTTTGAACGCCACTTCAACTATTATTTCGTGCAGAAATATGTAATATTCTTCTATTATTGCAGTATTAAAACGTGTGGCAGAAACTGATGGTATGTGAACATGTGGAAAAGCCAGTTTCAACCTCGAACTCACACAAAGTTTTTCCGTGAGGGTGCATTCAGACAATGCATAGATAGAGAAACCCTTAAACAGCGTGTTTCTCAGACGAAGTCCTCGTCCATGTATGCACGGTGTTACAAAAAATGCGTGAACACGCATGACAATATATATTTCTTAGTGCTTCAGCACGTGGGACAAAGCTACTCGAGTGAAAACATATTTTCGAACACAGTGAGGCTATGTGATAATAAAAATTACAGAGTTACTATTTCTCACCGCGAAAATATGTTGAGATCTGCATCGCTGACGAATGTTCCTGCTTGAAAAAAGCACACTTGTGTTTACTATATTCAAGTCAGAACATGTAGCGTTTTTTCTGGAAATGCATTTTGTTGACAGTTTCAAAGATAAGATCTAGCTTGTGTTTATTAAAAACTTCTCTTCAACTTTTGTCTCTCCTCGGAAGGAATCACTCCGATCACTCAGTATCAAGAATTTGTCGAAAATACGATGAAATCGCAAACACTGATAATGTTTACACACGGCACCTTCCTATGACTTCGTGATTGTTCCCATGGAAGAAATTAGTATGCGATTGGCATTGTTTTCTATTTTTAGAAGGCTCTACATGCTTAAACGCATGCTGAATACACAACGCTCGATTAATCAAAAGTTTAGAATTTTCACTATTAAAACACATGGTTTTACTGTGAGGTATCTATTCGTCTGCACAGATTTATACAATTTTCTGCTCCATTGGTAGTTTCATAAATTGTTCTCAAGTATGGGCTTAACTAATGGAGAACGAGCATATTGTAATTTGTAAATGTCTACTAGCAAACTTTTTATCAGTGAAGTATAAATCTATACATTGATGTGAATACCTATAAACATCACGTTCTCTGCAGTACCAATGATATTTTTTAAAACAAATAGTTGCGTTTGACAAAAAACAAATAATACGCGAGAAATACTTGAATTTCTACTGTTAGAAATGTTGGACCAGATATATAAGTGAAAAGTAGTAAGCATTCAAGTGCTCTCCACAGTATTTGGGTATTGATAAAAATGAAAGATATTTTTCGCTTTGCTGTACGCAATTTTTACAATGATATCTTCAATATTGATTGTTACCAAGCCGGGTGGATACGTTAGACGTCCCCAAAACACGAATGGATTAACTATGTGTTTGTTACCCAGTGTGAAAGCATCATGCTGATCAATGTGTACTTGATGGATTATAAGTTTAATTTTCTGCTGTGAATTTGAAATAATAGCCACAATAAATCCACAATTCGTTTCACTTTGAAGATTTCTGAACAATATGCACGAATCAGAAGTTTGAGTTGTTGAACTAGGATCATACACGGTGAATTGTACACTTTTTTTCCAACACGTTTCATACAGAGTAAATTTCATATGTTGAGTATTCTGTAAGTGAGCCATTACAACATGATCATCGGATAGTCTCAGTTTGCGAGCAACACGAATAAAATGATTTTCATTTGAAACTGTCTGTTTTGGTAACGCTTGTCGTTTCGAAGCGAAAAGACGACGAACACACAGTATGAGATCTATGCTGAAACTGGTGGTATTGAGCTGAGCTGTTGCACATTGCACGAGACGGATGTTATTTATCAGCTCAGCAACGATTAAATTAGGACCATTCACAGATTGTACAATAGAACCTATAATGGTGAATGTGAAACGACTTTTTTTAAGTAGAAGAAAGAGGATTGTATTTCCAAATCGTACCTACAACACTCTCAAAGTTGAAAGTAGAATAATGATGAACAGGATCGAAATCCTTCACAGACTGCGGCAAGTGAACCATGGAATGAACCACAGATGTGACATACTTTTCCTAAAAAAGTATCGCATTAAAACAAGTTGAGCTTTCAAGAGTTCAATGCTCGTATCCAATCTCTGCAGTTTAAATACATTCTTAAAAATCTGTTGACTTAATCAAACTTTCAAGTGTAAGATCGCTATAGAAAAACCATTCGTTCTCAACTTATTTCGATTCAGACACAACAATTACGAAACTGTTCTTAGGTCAATAAAAGAATATCTCAAACAAAGGCACAGTTTATCATGGATCGGTATATTGTCTGATTTAAATTGATTAAAACAATAATCGCAATATTCAACGAAGACGTACATAAAAAGAAAAATTAACCCTACACATTCCTTTTTATGTATGTTACATCAAACTATGACATCGTAACGCGCGTGTATATAATGAAGCGATTACTCACTGAATATAACAGTGGGAAAAGACGATCGAACTCATTGATCATACATTCGATTATATCGATTGTTTCGGTATGTAAGACAGGTGATTCAGCTAAAGCCATCGTGAATGCCAAGAGTTTAAGATGTTCATAATACCCCCTAGGGAGTATTGATTTGAAATACCTATTATAAACGAAGATTTTATTTTTCAAAATTTACGCAAGTTTTTGCATACGTAATAANAAGTTCGCATCGCGAGCTTCGCGAAAACCCAAGCAGACAAGGTTTGTCCGAAACGCGTTTTCACATTGAAAAAAGACCATTTTTGAATGTAGCCACGTGTGAAAATAGGAATGCTCGTTTAAACGCAAAAGAATGAACTTTTGTCAGCATTAAAACGAACAAACCTTCCCTAATAACTATTTTTAAACATGTGAACGCTTCGAATACTTCTTTTCTTACCGTTTCAACACTCATATGAGTAGACTCGCGTGTTTTTTGTTAGAAATCGCATATACAGCATGTTTTGGCACCGTATTTTAATCAATGTGTTCAGAGTGCAAAGTACATGTCGCGTAAACACAGGTGATTCGAATTTTTTTATCATTTTTCCGTATATTTTTCTTTTGTGAGTAAATTCAGCAAAACTCAAACTGAAAACACTATAGACCGAGAAAAAGTGTATGTATGTATACCACTAAACCGCTTATTCGCATAAACGTATAAAGTTTCAAAACGTATGCACGGTTTGAACGCCACTTCAACTATTATTTCGTGCAGAAGTATGTAATATTCTTCGATTATTGCAGTTCAAACGCGTGGCAAAAGCTGATGGTATGTGTGAACATGTGGAAAAGCCAGTTTCAACCTCGAATTCACAAAGTTTTTTCCTTTAGGCTTCATTCAGACAATGCATAGATAGAGAAACAGTTAAACAGCGTGTTTCTTAGATGAAGTCCTCGTCCATGTATGCAAGGTGTTACAAAAAATGCATGAACACGCGTGATAAAATATATATCTTACTACTTCAGTACGTGGGGCAAAGCTACTCGAGTGAATATATGTTTTCGAACACAGTTAATCTATGTGATAATAAAAATTACAGAGCTACTATTTCTCACCGTGAAAATATATTGAGATCTGCATCGCTGACGAATTTTCCTGCTTGGAAAAATCACACTTGTGTTTACTATATTCAAGTCAGAACATGTAGTGTTTTTTCTCGAAATGCACTTTTTTGACAGTTTCAAAGATAAGAATCTTGCTTGTGTTTATTAAAAGCTTCTCTTCAAGTTGTGTCTCTCCTCGAAAGGAATCACTATCCGATCACTCAGTATCAAGAATTTGTCGAAAATACGATGAAATCGCAAACACGGATAATGTTTACACACGACACCTTCTTATTACTTCATGATTGTTCCAATGTGGAAGAAATGAGTACGCGATTGGCATTGTTTTCTATTTTTAGAAGACTCTAATGCTTAAACGCATGCTTAATACACAACGCTCGATTAATCAAAAGTTTAGAATTTTCACTATTAAAACACATGCTTTTACTGTGAGGTATCTATTTGTCTGCACAGATTTATACAATTTTGTGCTCCCTCGATAGTTTCGTAAATTGTTCTCAAGTATGGGCTTAACTAATGGAGAACGAACATGTTGTAAATGTCTACTAACAAGCTTTTTATCGGTGAAGTATAAATCTATACATTGATGTGAGCACCTATAAACATCACGTTCTCTGCAGTACCAACGACATTTTTTAAAACAAATAGTTGTGTTTGGTAAAAAACAAATAATACGAGAGAAATAATTTGAATTTCTACTGTTAGAAATGTTGCACCAGGCATATAAGTGAAAAGTAATAAGCATTCAAGTGCTCTCAACATTGTTTGGGTATTGATAAAAATGAAAGATATTTTTCACTTTGCTGTACGCAATTTTTACAATGATATCTTCAATATTGATTGTTACCAACCCGGGTGGATGCGTTAGACGTCTCCAAAACACGAATGGATTAACTATGTGTTTGTTACCCAGTGTGAAAGCATCATGCTGATCAATGTGTACTTGATGGATTATAAGTTTAATTTTCTGCTGTGAATTTGAAATAATAGCCACGATAAATCCACAATTCATTTCACTTTGAAGATTTCTGAACAATATACATGAATCAGAAGTTTGGGTTGTTGAACTAGGATCATACACGGTGAATTGCACACTTTTTTTCCAACACGTTTCATACAGAGTAAATTTCATATGTTGAGTACTCTGTAAGTGAGTCATCACAACATGATCATCAGATAATTTCAGTTTGCGAGCAGCACGAATAAAATTATTTTCATTTGAAACTGTCTGTTTTGGTAATGCTTGTCGTTTCGAAGCGAAAAGACGATGAACAAACAGTATGAGATCTGTGCTGAAACTGGTGGTATTGAGCTTAGCTGTTGCACATTGTACGAGACGGATGTTATTTATCAGCTCAGCAACGATTAAATTTGGGCCATTCACAGATTGTACAATAGAACCTATAATGGTGAATGTGAAACGATTTTTTTTAAGTAGAAGAAAGAGAATTGTATTTTCAAATCGTACCTACAACACTCTCAAAGTTGAAAGTAGAATAATGATGAACAGGACCGAAATCCTTCACAGACTGTGGCAAGTGAACCATGGAATGAACCACAGATGTGACATACTTTTCCTAAAAAAATATTGCATTAAAACAAGTTGAGCTTTCAAGAGTTTAATGCTCGTATCCAATCTCCGCAGTTTAAATACATTCTTTAAAACCTGTTGATTTAATCAAACTTTCAAGTATAAGATTGCTATAGAAAAACCATTCGTTCTCAACTTATTTCGATTCAGACACAATGATTACGAAGCTATTCTTAGGGCAATAAAAGGATATCTCGAACAAAGGCACGGTTTATCATGGATCGGTATATTGTCTGATTTAAATTGATTAAAACAATGATCGCGATATCCAATGAAGACGTACATAACAAGAAAAATTAACCCTGTACATTGCTTTTTATATATGTTACATTAAATTATGACATCGTAACACGCGTATATAATGAAGCGATTACTCACTGAATATAACAGTGGAAAAAGACGATCGAACTCATTGATCATACATTCGATTATATCGATTGTTTCGGTATGTAAGACAGGTGATTCAGCTAAAGCCATCGTGAATGCCAAGAGTTTAAGATGTTCATAATACCCCCTAGGGAGTATTGATTTGAAATACCTATTATAAACGAAGATTTTATTTTTCAAAATTTACGCAAGTTTTTGCATACGTAATAATGTGTGTTTTATCATACTAACGTAAGATACCGAAAGTTGTGCATATTTTTCGGGAACACATTCATATCTCAAGAAACGAGAGACTATCAACTAACACTTTTTCTCTGAAATCTCTTAAAAGCTATCTTTAGAAATTTGGAAATTTTCTCTTTTTTAACAGCTGCTCAAATAATGACGAATCTATGCACCAGAAAAATACACACGGATAAAAGTGCTGTTCTTCGTGCAATTTAGGACTTACTGATATCCGAACAGCAAGGTTAATCTGTATTCGTTCCCTTTATACGTTTTAAAAAATCTCAGTTGAGACGGTATATGATAAGTGGTCGTAGGATATCGAATAGAGTCCAATCGAGCTTCGATTAATTTTAAACTTGAATGTACAGAATACACTTCACCGCGACTCGTAAACCATATTTCCAATAAGCGTTTCTGTTAAAAGAACGAATACAATTTAGAACCCTGCATGTAAAAATTATATATGTGCCACGCATGTCTTTAGAAATCGATATTTTATATAGTGCATTGAGTCTCATTTCAAATATGAAATGAATATTGGCTTTCAAAGCAACTACACTATCTATACGAATGATCGAATACTTACAAAGGTACCGGAATATACATTATGGAGTGAATCAATGACAAATGCCAGACCCATATCGAAGTATGACAACTGGCGAAGAACACATGGTCCACGATGCCCACAAGCAGGATCTATATCATTTGACTTCAACTTCTTTTTCCTCTAGAGAACTCAAAAAATCTTTGTATGTTGTCAAGAATGCAGAAATTACTTGTGACAATCTCATCATATGCACATCATATAATGCATTACACCTTCGTTGAATATTTCGATGGCTACGTTGCACAAAAACTCGCGTACTACCGCCTCCGACTTTGACAGATTTTCCTTAAATAAAATTCGGCAAAATGTGAGGTAAATGATTACTTCCACTTATTTGTATTTAGACTTTGGAAAAATCCTGCGACCTAGATTTTACGAATTAAATCTATCTGTAATAGCCACAGATTCAAGACAAAATTCGGCTATGTACTTATTTCTTTGTACAAGTTATTTATTGTTAGCTGTTCGCACTATAGAAAAGAATGAAACTGAAAGTGCGAAGTTTTCATAACTTCAGAGAACTAGCAAAAATTTCCATAATTTTTCACAGCACATGTAATGCTTTCAGATCATATGGACCTTGATCTGTGGTAATGCTCTAATGGGAAGCAAATACAGAAATGCAAAAGACTAATTTAGCAACTGTGCTTGGGTAGGCATGTTGGTTTTACCTTGAATTGTGCATTTGACACAACTGTAATAACCCGTAGGTTCATTTAAATTTAGCAAAAGTGCTTGAGCGGGTTTGTCCAGTGTCGCAGCAATGAGATACGCGTGTACCTTAGTGAAGTTACCATTGAAGTTTGGAGGAGAAATGTAGAAACCGAATTCCAGCTGGCGCAATTCTTGTACCCAATCAACGATGATGCTTTGAAAATGTTGTTTTTTCGGTTTGGTACCTCCCATAGTTACAGAACAAAGTATAATATTATTACTATCATATCTAACACTGCGTGGCAGTTCGTTGATAACCATACAGGAAATCCAGACCGAGCGACTGAATTTCTTCAGAACAATACCATCGCTATTCAAAGTAAAAGTTATTATTCGTTTCGTTGGATCATTTTTTCGTTCTTGATCAATAATATTTCGGCGCACTTCGCCTTCTTGAACATCGCGCACTCTTGAACGGTCGCCATCGGGTTCATTCATAAGATTACACCTATCCAAAATTGCAATTACTTATGGTAAAAGTTTGAAGGTGCATATAGTCGTCGGAGTAGACGCAAAACCAACACTTGATTTGCAGCTCACGGTCTCACATTTGGAAGAATCTGTTCCTTTATTACCGCATTCTGAACACAGAATGTGTTTTTTGCTTTGCAAAACATCACCTTGTGAACACATAATGATCTTTTCGACAGATCGAAAGTCAGCTGGCACATTTTTCACACCGAGGAAACGAAGTAAATCACATAAATCATTGATGCATGACTTAGATAGATTATGCCTGTGTCGAAAAAGAGCAAGAGCAGTTGAAATATCTTTCGTATCCGGCACTTGGCCTGTAACAATATGCGTAATACGATGGCCTGAGGAATCGAATAAAAGTTCGTCGTCATTCTGAGGATCGTCATTTTTCGTAGCAGGCGAGTCAGTTGGAATGGAATCGTCTGGCAAACAATCGAACGAGTGTGCGTCACAAATCGGCTCTTCTTCATCATATTCCTGCATCACTGTATCATGTAAATGCTCGTTTCTGCTAACAAGTTCGCTGTCGTGATCATCTGCCATTCTTCAATTTCAGACATATGAATAAGAAATAGATCATGTATCACTTACTCGACTTCATTGGAATCTTCAGGACATAAAGATGCTAACATACTGTTACGAGCCACACGAGTAGCAGCAGACCGTAGCCGTCGAATTGATATTTTAGCAGAACGCAACGAGAAATGATCGTGGTTCATGACAGATATCTGGAGACAGTTAACGAAATACATAAAGAGGTGTGTTGTTAAACCAGCTGACACTATTACAAATCAATCTTTTCATTTGGAACTTATTTTCTTTCTCGATCTCGAAGGCGATTTCGCAAGGAACTATGGGTTTTCAGCTATTGTGAATAAGAACGAGCGCATAGAATTGATGGGATTGACTAGCTGCAACTTTCGAGATCGCATATCCAAGTTTATTGAAACGTTATGCATAACTTCTCGTTGATTCCAGATAAATACTAGAATATTAATTCCCTTTTTGAAATAGCTATATGTCAGATGCTTAGCTTTGTCCTGGCTGCAAGTTATACCAAGAGAATTCGAACATATTAAGATAGTCAAAATGCAATCGAATATCGAGAGAAAAGAAAATTTATTGAATAAAAAAAATTAGCTTAGAAAAATTCAATATATCAAGAAATTCATGACAATACGATCGAATCAACGGAAAGAGAACAGACAAAAATGTTTGAATGAAAAGCTAGTGAAATAATGTGTTGACAACAGGCAACACGATATTCCGATCCAAAATTATGATCATGATCGTTTTTCAACGATGCGTGCGTCTTTGATGCGAATATGTTGGTTGTTCGTCGTGGTCTTCTTCCACATCTTCATTTTGTTCATCGAATTCGTCTTCATCAGCATCCCCATGAGCACCGTGTTGAATATCATCGTCACTTTCGTCTTCAGAAAAACCATCAGTTGTATGCGAAGCTGGACCTGAAATGTTTATAAAGCCTTCATTTGTTCTGTTTTCATCTTCGAGATCAACGTCTTCATCGTTTGATGAGGCATTCAACGGTTGCGCTAGGTATCGATCTGCTCTGCGTAATTCGCTTTTCGCACTTCGAATTGATGTGCCAATAGCGTTCTTCATGTCGTTCATATGGAATGTCAGATTCGGATGAAGAGTACGTACATATGCTACAGGACAGTTACAATTTAGTCTTTTCGAGTGATACAAAAAGCGTACCATAGATGTCGTGCAATGTTGATTGTGCAATGTTCTTCACTGATCCAAGTGCAGCACGGCTTCCCGTCGTGGAAAATAACAATCGAAACAACTTCAGGGCAGATCTTTGAGGTGTACGCGCAGCTACAGTAATCAGATTTGCCGGATCCAGACCTAAATCCTCACCGATTTTCTCTAGTGTTCGACCGTCACCTTGGTAAACACCATTATTGTTCATCAGATCGAAAACTTCTTGAAGCCACTCGACTGCTTCGGCGGTGGGCCGTGCTAATCGTTAAAACAGAAAACCACTCAATATATGCGATTAGAAAATGAAATGAGAGCTGTGTCGTATCAGAAAACGTGAGCACAGAAATTTCGATGCGTCATCTTTCTCTAAATGCAACGGAGATATATATCTGACCAAAAGTGGTCGCAAAAAACGCGTTCTCCGCTTAGTTACATACAAACACAAACAACTCTAGTCTCTGATTGACTACAAATTCCAACACGAAGTCTAGAAGATACTACCTCAACATCTCAGTTCAGCATGATGTGAGTCACGCATGGACAGAAATATGAACTTACGAATGCTATTGGCTTTCAAATCGGCTAATTGGCGTTTCATAACTTGATAATCCTTTCGCCACTCTTCCACTTGCTGTTGTTCGCGCACATATAGTCTCTTTAACTCTCTATACTCGAGGCTGCCTTCGATCAAAGCCTGCGAAGGGAATTGGCTCGCTGTGGAATTCAAAAGATTATTTGATGACGACAAGCGTTGCGTTTCCGGTCGATTATTAGACATTGAACATGGAATGGAACTATTAAAAATCCGTTCAATGCAAGATAAACAGATTATGTTTTTTATTACTTTTGCGTTTTTATCTCGGAGTTTTTGTTCGGTAGGGACGATCTCACTCTAAGAATGTTGGATATAAAGATGAATTTTGTACTTTTATATGAAATACTGACTGTGAGCTCGAACGTTGTGTGACAATGGCATTTGAACTGGTAGATGCCAACTTCGTTCTATTAAATAGAATCGTGAAAATGTGGACGAACAATCAATATACTTACTTTGCTTTTTCTTCGATCGAAGACTTTTTTTCCAAGCTAAGTAAATGACATTTTGTGACTTTATCGAAATGCAATAGATTTACTTTGTATTCGAAGCAACACAACTGTCAGTAGTTAGTTGAAATTGTGATGAGTGATCCGGAATGCGAACCGCTCGTGTATCGGGATTTGCCGCTGATGATGCACTTCTTGATGCCGTCGAAGAAAATGTAATACTAGATCCAGATAGTGTAGATGATGCATTCCCAAGATCAGTATTCCGACTACCCTTGTTGTTCAATGGCACCTCATTGATACGTTCTGGTTTTTTTCCCAGAACTGTGCTGTGATTCGAAATTGCATCAGAATCGTCAGTATGGACGATATTCTCTTTTTCATTCGCTGCAGGAGTTGTTCGAGTTCGCTTTGCTCGCGATGAACCCACATTTCGGTTATTATTAAGAGAAGAAATGGTTCGCTTCATAGATAACAGTTTGCACGTAACTAACGGGAGAAATTTTAGAAAAACAGCTGCGTAAAAAGTTTGCTTCAACGAAACGAAGAAGATAATCTAAAAAAGAGATCGATATACCACTGAAGTAGCCTATGATGAAGAAATACTTTAGAATAGTAGTGAAATTGACCCTTATATAGTGCAGCAACGACGTCGAGGGAAAACAAAAGACATAATGACATGCTATTGTGAACAGACAATGAACCGATGTGTTCATAATCGAATCGACTGACGACTGATAATATGAAATCATGTTATACGAGCCTGATGATATCATGCTATTTGTTCTAGAAGAAATTCTGGCGTATCATTATAAAAGAAAAAGCACTAAGTATGCTTTTCGTCCTCCTTCCTGTGCTGTTGTCATCATAGGTTCTTACTATAATCCAATGAAAAAGTGGACATCATATCGTGTCTAAAAACCCATTATTAGAATCTACTTAACAATTGGATTAGGATACATTAGAATAACTTGAAAATGACTAGTTCCCGTTACAAAATCAATCTAGAGCATTTACGTGGATGAAACAGCGCATAGGTACGTTTCACATGCTGGCGACACCACACATACAATACAAACATTAAGCATTTCTGTACGAACCCTACTTAGTGAACTGAGATATCTACCATCGTCGTATCATATCCAGAAGTGAACTCTCCAGGTCGAATGCACCCCATCAGATTCGATGGGAATTTATCGGAAAGCGTCGGATCACTCGTCCTGAGTCCACGGCATTTTGTTCAATGGAGCCACTTGCTATTAGACATCAAAGTACTATATAGTCTTATTCGACAACATCTAAAGAGAACATTTGTTTCCTATAGACTTATCTAAGGTGCAGCTTCAGCCGGCTTTGTTCTTATGCCTTTGTTTTCCTTTTATTATCGTATCAATCTATGTTATAACTGCCAACAGCTTTACCTCCTATAACACCAACATTCTATTTTGAAAATATCTAACCGCCGTGTATATATTTAACGTAAACATAACTCATACTTCTCAACCGCCGCTAATCTTTTTTTACTCCACCAATCGTCGCTGACGTTCTCTTCATCAAGATGCTTTTTCATAACTATAAACGAACTGTGATTAACTCGCAAGCTGCATCTAGCGTATACACATCGTTTTCTTTACACATAGAAGTGCTTTTCTTCCACCACATCAAACAGAGGAATTGTCTTTATATTTAATTTAATCTTCGCATCTCTTTCTTACGCCTGATACTTGTTTAACATTTGTCCCGGGTTGCAATATATAGGCATTCTTCACAACCTTCCTTAGTTTTCAGTGGGCTCTATCATCCCAACATAGTTTGCTTTACTTACACTGCAGCTGTACACTCATCACACTCGTCAACAAACTCTATTTCATTTCTAAACAACAGAAAACCAAAAGAACCTTTTGAACGTTCGCTCTAGCATTCCCTAGTTGAATCAAACGTGACATCTACAAATTCCGAATGATGACCGAGAAACAAACAATCTCCTACTCCCTACCCACTCAAGCGTTACCATTCACGACAACCCATGTGTCCATACAATCAGAAGTAAGCAGACCGATACAGACGATCTCAATCGATACTTTTCGTTCCTCTTTTACAGATCGGCTTCGATTCATGCGTCTATTCCATCTCAAGTAAGTAGAGCGATACAGACGATCTCAATCGATACTTTTCGTTCCTCTTTTACAGATCGGCTTCGATTCATGCGTCTATACCATCCCAAGTAAGCAGACCGATACAGACGATCTCAATCGATACTTTTCGTTCCTCTTTTACAGATTGGCTGTGATCTTGCGGCCTTAACTATGTGAGGTAAAGGAACCTTTCGAAAGAGAATCGATAAGTGGTTTTTTGTCTAATTTTTAGATTGGCGAAGGTTGGAAAGGGATCTGTTACAGTTGATGGGTTGTATAAATGGATATGCGGAATAATGCAGTCGGGCGCACATAACAGGTGATGATGAAGTAGCGGTTCGGATCACAACAAGATTTTTTTGTGGCAGAAGATATTCATTTTGTTTAGGGTATTATACGAAGTTTTGCAGTTGTGTGTGATCAGTGTGATGGTTTTTCGACCGTTGATCGACTGTTTCGGGTAGTCAGCAGCGGATAAGTGACGGTTGCGGCGTGAATTGAACTGTTTCGCATGGGCAAAGTACACGAGAATAATTGATCGAACGGATACGGTTGGCTTTTTAGACCTTTCAAATGCTGGTTTTTTGTATGGTTTGGCTTGAATGCGTAGTGGTGATAAAGTATCATAGTATTAGAAATAATTTGAGCATGATGAAATAGCAGGTAACGCTGAGGTAAAGCAGGTAGAAACGCACTCGAGTGTTTTTGAATGTTTGCACTCGGAGGAAGAACATACAATTTTTAGTTGAACGTATTTACGTTTTGTTTTCGAATTTGTAGGTTGGTTGTATTCTAGGTTCTCGACTGCTGAGTAAAGACGGTGATTATTAGTATTGGGATACACGTTCTTGTTTATTCTCCGTGTGCGCAGAAAAAGATGCTAGCTATTTTGAAATGGTCGTGTTAACGATCGAATATACGCGACGTGTATCTGTAGTAGTTGGGGTTCCCAACTGTTGAATGAAGGCGGTGATTATTAGTATTGGGATACACGTTCTTGTTTATTCTCCGTGTGCGCAGAAAAAGATGCTAGCTATTTTGAAATGGTCGTGTTAACGATCGAATATATGTGACATGTTCCTGTAGTAGTCGGGGTTTCCGACTATATGTAAGACGTGGCGGGAAAAAGTAGACGACCAAGCATTTTCTTTTTCAACATGTAACTGTGTGCCAAAATTTATTGTGCGTGCTGATAGAAAAGATCAGCTGCTTAGAAATTCGGTTCGCTTTAACGCTTTTGGTTTTCAACCGGTGTTCAATAGCAGTCGGGAACCGCGACTGCTACCGTAAAACAGTATAAAGTTCTATAGGGTGTACACGCGTTTTTCAGGGGGTCTTGTCTGCTTGGGCAGTTGATTGTAAAGGAAAGAGTACGTTGTGCAATAACTTCAATCGATGATTCTCTGAGAAAAGATTGAACAACAAAATATTCTTCAAATCCTTTATGTAAAAAACCATAAACTTGTAAAT